TGTGTTGAGAGCACCATTTTTTGATGAGACAGATGTTCTTTACAAAAACAAATCTCTGGGCTTACGCAGTAATTTATCTTCTTCCATCACGAATGCTTGTAGTGTAAATCAGTTGGGAGTGAAGCTAACAGACTGTCAGCTTGTCACTAATCAGTAGTAGCTGACAGGTTCATTCTGCTGCTAAAATGAGGTTTGAAGACATTGCTGAGAGTTACTGTGCAATCAACAGACATGTCCCCACCCGCTCCACTATGTCACTGTTTGTAATTGGTTGAATTGACTTTTTTCTCTTTTGTGGATTTGATGCAGGTGAAATTCTTCAGAACGTCAAGTTCAATCTCATAAGGGCAATTTCAGGTCACAGAAAGAGACTCTTTTGATACTATTTGATAAACAGTTACAATTTCCTGTTAAACGCGGACATGTTTTTAAGGAAAATAATTTAATTTTTTCATCTTACCAATGATAAAATTCCTTAGATAACATATTGTAACATATTGTGATGCAAAATAAATAAAGTAGGTGAAATATCTTTGGCATGGGGAGGTGGGTTTATAGGAATTTGCTGTTACAACATTATGTGGTACCTTTGACAACCATTTCAGTCCATTATTAGTTTTTACCACTTCCCTTAATTTCAGGAAAACAGGAACATTCAATTAATAAACAGAATCGGCAAACGTAATACTTCCTGTCTTGGCTCGTCAGTTCAGCCCGTTTTGAACAGGTCTCTTGTTCTGCCGTGATTTACAGACAAAGAGGAAAAGACTACTGCTAAGGATAGACACAGAATCAGTCTATCAAGCACCAGGATGACAGAACAAATTTAGACCGTATATTGCTGCCTTGCACAATGTCTGAGACTAGAGCAATGAATCTTGATGCCAAAACCAGACAAATGACTTCTCAAAGCTTTTTTCTCTCTCCCATTGTTTAACAATTAATTTTTTAATATGTGGCATATAGCCTAAGTAATTGTTTCAGAATTGTTAATGAAATCTGTCAAAAATGTATTTCGTGCACAAAAACATTAACAATGTTACATGTTTTAAATTCAATTATAGCAAGCAGAAATAAATGTTGAACACTTACTGTAACATATTGACAAATATTTTTTTAACTGTTTATTATAATTGCTAATTGTGACTTTTAATTAAAAGATTAAAGGGATAGTTCACCCAAAAATGAAAATTTGATGTTTATCTGCTTACCCCCAGGGCATCCAAGATGTAGGTGACTTTGTTTCTTCAGTAGAACACAAATTATGATTTTCCAGCCGTTGCAGTCTATCAGTCGTATAATGCATGGCAATGGTAACAAAATCTATGAGAGTAAAAAAAAACAAGCACAGACAAATCCAAATTAATTCCTGCGGCTCGTGACGACACATTGATGAATTAATTTGGATTTGTCTGTGCATGCTTTTTTAACTCTCATAGATTTTGTTACCATTGCATTATAAGACTGATAGACTGCAACGGCTGGAGTTAAAAATCATCAAATGTGTTCTACTGAACAAACAAAGTCACCTACATCTTGGATGCCCTGGGG